AAATCGCTATTGTCATTAAAGTGTTATTTAAATTAATACATGATGGATTTGTTATTATTTTAAATGAGTTAATAACTATTTTAAAACTTTCTAAATTTTCATTTTGAGAATACTAAAGATTGATAGATGTAATTCACACACACAAAAGCTCTTTGGGGCCCTCAAACCTTTTTAAGAATATAAAGGGGTCCCGAGATCAAAAAAGTTTGAGAACCGCTCTACTGAACATTTGAAAAAACAACCAGAAGACAAACAATGATGAAAGCAGAATTTAAAAAAAAAAAAAAAATTCTCCACATACCAGCTCCCGCTCCTCTCTGGCTCCACATCTCCCTTCCTAAGGAGCAGGATTCCAGGACGGCGCACCCGCGATCCCCAGCAAGCGGCAACAACAACAGCAGCAGGTGCTTGCACGATTTCAAGTTTAGGCAGGAGAACACAGAGAGGTGGATTTGAATTTTGCTCCCAAAAAAAATGTGTTGTAAATCCTAACCCCAATACCTGGGGTCATATGAGCCCTGGTGGCGCAGTGGTTAAAGCCACTGACTGCTAACTGAAAGGTCAGTGGTTTGAAACCACCAGTGGCTCCGTGGGAGAAAGATGTGGCAGTCTGCGTCCGTAGAGGTTTACAGCCTCGGAAACACTACGGGACGGACTCGAAGGCAGGGGGTTTTGTTTTTTCGGTTTATACCTGTGGTTATAATCCCATTTGGGAATGGGTTTTCTTTGTTATGTTAATGAGGCAGGATTAGTGTGGAGTGTGTTTTAAGCCAATCTCTTCTGAGATATAAAAGAGCAGATTGAGCAAGCAAGCAAGCAAGCAGGGTGGGGGACGGACAGAAGCCACGCCCCATGAGATCTCCAAGGAACCCAGGAACAGCAGCTGAAAAGAGACAAGGACCTTCCCCCAGAGCCCACAGAGAAAGAAAGCCTTCCTCTAGAGCCGGCACCCTGAATTCAGACTTCCAGCCTCCTAAACTGTGAGAAAACAAATTTCTGTTTGTTACAGCCACTCACTTTGGTATTTCTGTTATAGCAGCACTAGAGAACTAAGATGCCAGCTTAACTGGGTCAGTTAAGCCTCAAATTCCTTCTCTGTAAAGTGGGTGCAGTCCCTGGGTGTTGCAAACGGTTAACGTTAGCTGCAAACCAAAAGGTTGGAGGTTCGCGTCCACCCAGAGGTGCCTCAGAAGTAAGGCCTGGCAATCGACTTCTGAAAAATCAGCCATTGAAAACTACGGATCACAGCTCTACTATGCACACATGGGGTCAGAATCCACTCAAAAGCAACTAAAAATAACCACCACAACAAAGTGACACAAATATAACACCCGCCCTCGTTCGCGAGCTAAGACAAGCCCTGGCGCAGTGCCGGGCCCGCGGGATGTGCTTGGTGTAGCCGTTAATACCGTCTTTCAAAATCCTGTCTTCTCCCAACCACGTATACTGTCTCCCTTACACCACGCTACTTGAAGACTGCTTCAAAGAGTCACTATTAGCCCAAACTTGTACCTGCATCCCTTTGCTTCTGCAGTTTCCTTGCCACTGACCTCGGGCAAGTCACTGAACTTCTCCTGTGTATCGCACGGGGAGCATGACCTTAATCCAGGCAGCAATGACGGGTGTGGGCTCTGGCTTAGTCCTGATTGGGGTGAATCCCAGCTCTTATTGATTGTCATTGTTGTGAGGGGCCATCCAGTTGGTCCCTAACGCGTCGAGACACCACGTGTTACAGAGTAAAACTGTTGCGTGAGGTTTTCTTGGCTGTAATCTTTACAGAAGGGGCTTGCCAGTCCTTTCTTCCGAAGAGCCGCTGGGGGGGTTTGAACCACCAACCTTTAGGTTAGCAGCTGATTGCAAACCACTTGCACCACCCAGACTCCTTCTTGTGAATCACTGGCCGCATGACTTGGGGAAAACTGCACGCTCGCTCCATGCCTCAGTTTTCTGGTCTGTAAAATGGAGCTAGTAACCACACCTGCCTCCTGGGTGGCTGTGAGGATTAACGAGCTAACCCTCATTTCAAGCGCTTAGGATGGTGCCAGGCATGCAGGAAACTCAAAAAGGTTTCCTAGCTTCTTGTGATTAGCTACAAAATAAGATTAGGCTAGATCAGGTTTTCTCCAAGCCTGGTGAGAAAAACTTCCACTGTCTTGTTACCCTCTCCACAGCTTGATTCTCTCTTACCTTTCCCTTCCTCTCCTCCTGAGCTTCTGGACTATAACAAAGCCTTCCTGTGAGCCCTGACCAGATGACATACCACGTAGCTGATCGCCATCCTAAACTCCATGGATGCCTGATTTCTAACCGATCCTCAAATGCTCTTACTCCAACCAACAATGTATACTGATGCTTTTCCCTGGGGCTTCGGAGGCAAGCGTTATCCTTTTCTGAAATGTTTCTCTTTTCAGTGTCAAAGAGTCATTGAAACTGATCGTACTGAGGAGGCACAAGCAAAGCGAGGAGTAAGAGAGTTTTCCTGCCAAAGGAATGAGGGGTAGCAGATAAGGAAGCGGCACCACAATGCCCTTCAGCCACCTTGGAATTCTGCATCTCGCTCCGGAGTATCACCCAGAGTTTTTCCACCTCTGGGTTTCCACAAGACCCACAAAAGTGGCAGGAATCCTCGCCCACGAAGATGAGATTTCACTTGGCCCTCTTTCCTTTCAGCTTTCCTGATTTCTGCTTCCAGATGTGAGCGAACTTACCACGGGGCCAAACAGGACTGTAACTCTTTCCGATTTAATCTCCCACCTTCTTGGATGTGGAGGGGAACTGGGTTTTCTGGAAGGAACTTGCAATGTGCTGTCACGCACTTTTGTTAAGTGGGGCAGCGTGGGGAGGAGCGGGAAAAATTCTGTTTCAGCTGCAAACAGCATATTTAGCGACTGTGGAGAACAAAAATCACCCTTTGGGAATGTGGTGGCGCGGCTGCTATTTTACACAGGGTGGTCAAGGAAATACTACCTGAGAAGGACAGGTTTGGGCCGAGACCCGCAGGAAGTGAGGAGCAAGTATGAGAGGCTGGGAAAGAGAATCCAGGCAGAACGGCAAGTGCAAAGGTCCTGGGGCAGAGATGTGCTGGGTGGGAGAATACCAAGGAGGCCAACATCTCTGGACCAGCGTCAGTGGGGAGGAGGGCAGAGGTGAGGGAGGCCAGACCATGGAGCCACTTGAGGGCTTTGGATATAATCTGGGAGAAGTGGGGAGACGCTCAAGGGCTTCAGGCTGAGGGGGGACATTTTGGGTGACAGGTGTCCTGCAGAGCACGCCTAAGGAAACACAGTGACTGCCTGGGGGATATGGCACAGCCTCGAGCCTGAAGGGGACCGGGGATATGTTCGTATTGGTCCAAAGGGGTCATTCAGGCTTGATAAAATGAAAAAAATCTGAAAATTCCAAATGACCACTTTCTCTGTTTGGTGTGATTTCATGCAGGTGTGCGAGGCCATGGGCTATGTGTATGAGATGTACTTTGCAGGGAAAATGGGCAGCCTCTGTCACAGTCCAGCCCAACAGGGTACGTTTGTAGACCTCATCTAACAATTAGCCTGTGTGAACAACTCAGCAGGACAGGAAATGTTTGCCTCCTTTGGCAAATAATACTGCCTGTTACGGATTGAATTGTGTCCCCCTAAAATGTATGTCAGCTTGGCTAGGCCGTGATTCCCAGTATCATGTAGGTTGTCCCCTATTTTGTGATCTGATGTGATTATCCTACGTGTTGTAAATCCTACCTCTGTGATGTTAATGGAACCCTGGTGGAATAGTGGTTAAGAGCTCAGCTGCTAACCAAAAGGTTGGCAGTTTGAATCCATCAGCCGCTCCTTGGAAACCCTATGGGGCAGTTCTAATCTGTCCGATAGGGTCGCTATGAGTCGGAATTGACTCAATGGCAATGGGTTTGTTTGTTTTTTATGATGTTAATGAGGCAGGATTAGAGGCAGTTATGTTAAGAAGGCAGGACTCAATCTACAGGATTAGGTCGTATGTTCAGTCAATCTCTTTTGAGATATAAAAGAGAGAATTGAGAAAAGAGGAGAGGGACCTCATTCCACTGAGAAAGAAGAACTGGGAGCTAAGCGCATCCTTTGGACCCAGGGTCCCTGGGCTGAGAAGCTCCTAGACCAGGGGAAGATTAATGACAAGGACCTTCCCCCAGAGCCAACAGAGAAAGCCTTCCCCTGGAGCTGGCACCCTGAATTTGGACTTCTAGCCTCCTAGAGTGTGAGAGAATAAATTTCTGTTGTTAAAGCCACCCACTTGTGGTGTTTCTGTTAAAGCAGCACTAGATGACGAGGACACTGCCCAAATCACACAGCTCATTGGTCACCAGTGAGAACAGACAAGCCAAGACAATTAGGCTCAGAATTCAGGTTCCTCCCAGTATGCAATTCGGTGCCTCTCAGTCTACCAGCTGATCAAGGGAGTGACCCCAAAATGGAGTGCTTGGGTAGTGCCAATGGTTAACACACTTGGCTGCTCACTGAAAGGTTCGAGGTTCAAATCCACCCTGAGGTACCTTGGAAGAAAGGCCTGGCAATCTACTTCTGAAATATCAGCCATTGAAAACCCTACGGCACACAGTTCTACTCGGACACACACGGGGTCACCATGAGTCGGGGTCAACTCAACGGCTACTGGTTTAAGCCCCAAATGCAGAAGATCCAAATGCAAGGGGAGACCATTTTGTATTGCCAAAGGAAGACTACTCGGTTGGGAACAACATCAAGGGGCCCTCCTTTGCCTAGACATTAGGGGATGTGTGTGTCCCCTTGTTCTATATGGTGATGCAGTCGCCTCGTCTAGCTGTTCTTTTGTGCTGTGCCCTACCTGGGAACAACAGTTTGTGAAAAGACACACTATTTGTAGGTGTCACAGGGTGTCCTCGTTCTTCCTAAAACCCAAGCCGACCTGGTGGTACAGACGTTGCTCTTGCATAAGTCGTGGCCCGTGGCCACTTGTAAACCAGAAGGAAGGGGAAGAAACAAGTTCCTTACCAAGTAGACGTCTAGCACCGAGTCGTTATCGTCCTGCGTTTCCGGAGCGTCTGGCTCAGAGGTTAGGTAGATGGTCCCCTCCTCCGAGACAAATGTTGAGCTCGAAGGTAACCCTTTGCTGGAAAAATAAACAAGGGTCACGAGCATGTTGCCACTAGAACAAAATCCACAGAAACCTCCACGGTTGTGGCTAAAGAGGCTGAGGTGGGGCGGTTTTGGGGGATGAAAAAAATTTTTTTTATAGTATTCAAGGGAGATATGGTCACACCTGGAGATACGGTACTTGAGTTAAAGAATTTGACTGTGGTTGCCATGAGTCATAATCTACTTGATGGCAATTCTGTGTGTGTGTGTGTGTGTGTGTGTGTGTGTGTGTGTGTGTTTTCTCTCCCTGCTTCTTTGCATTTTCGAGATGGGATCTGTGATGCTCATGCCTGTGAGTGGGAGGCTGCTGGGGATCCACAGGCCTGCTGCTCAGCTTTGACGCTCGATGGTTGCTTCCTGCAGGTTAAGTTCTCCCCTCTCGATGCTCACGGTCTGCTGTTTACAGAAGACAACCTTGTGCATAGTCAGCACTGATGATGTCTTTTCATTTTACTATTTTTTTTCTTTTTTGCATGAAAGGCTTAATTACGTCAGTGGTTAAACACAATTTTCTGCTCCACAAGGAGCCCTGGCGGCAACAAAGGTTAAGCTCGGCTGCTAACCGAAAGGTCAGCGGTTCATGGGGAGAAAAGACCTGGCGATCTGCTCCCGTAAAGATTACAGCCTTGGAAACCCTATGGGGCAGCTCTCTTCAGTCATATAGGGTCACTATGAGTTGGAATCGACTGGACAGCATCCAACAACAACAACAACAACCCCCAGAGTTCCTGATTTGGGAGGTCTAGTGGGGCGCACGAGTTTATATCTGGTGATGCTGATGCTGCTGATCTGGTCCAGAGACCAAGCTCTGAGCCACACGGAATTACACTAGAGTGTTGTGTTATATGGTTTCATCATCGTGAAAGCAGTTAAGACAATGCTCTAACTGTTGACTCAGCGGCAATGGGTTTGGGATCATATGCTTTGTAAGGAGAGTCCTAAGTGTACCTTCAGTAACAAGGACAACGACAATAGCCAAAGGAATGCAGGTGGAGAGTTGTTTATGAAGGAAACCACCCTGTTTTGTCATGATATGATATGTCAACTGTTGAAGTAATTGGTCCATTCTGTTGTTGATAGCTGCCCTGGAGTCAACCTCTAACTCATGGCGACCCCATGTACAATGGACCAAAATGCTGCCTGGTCCTGTGCCATCCCTGTGATCAGTTTCGAGTCAGACCACTGTGATCCACAGGGTTTTCATGGGCTCATTTTCAGAAGTAGATTGTCAGGCCTTTCTTCCTAGTCCATCTTAGTCTAGAAGCTCCGCTGAAACCTGCTCAGCATCATAGCAACACACAAGGCTCTACTGACAGATGGGTGGTGGCTGCGCATGAGGTGCCCTGGCCGGAAATTGAACCTGGGTCTCCCTCATGGAAGGTGAGAATTCCACCATCGAACCAAATAGTATTTAAATCAGATATTAATTTAGGGGCTCAGGAATGCACAATTTTTTTCTTCAGTGAAATAAAGGTCAGTTTTGTTTTTAACTTGTGGAAATTTGCCATGTGAAGGTTTTTGCAGACACAGATTATCCTCAAAGTTTGGATGTTTGGTGTTAGGAGAACTCGGGGAGGGGGGTGGCCATCTGCTACATGGAAGGAACCTTAATATGGCACGTGGTGTCCCCCGGTGGTCGAGCTGAAAGCAGGCTGTAGAGAAGGATTTCCCCTCTCACCTTTGTCACCACCTCCTGAGATTCTCTCCTGGCTTAGCTCAGAGCTCACCTCTGCTGACAACACCCTGTCAAGCAGCCCTGGTGGCACAATGATTAAGCGCTCAGCTGCTAACTGAAAGGCTGGCAGTTCAAACCCACCAGCAGCTCTGCAGAAGAAAGACCTGGTGATCTGCTCCTGTAAAGATGACAGCCTAGGAAACCCTACGGGGCAGTTCCACTCTGTCACATGGGGTCACTATGAGTGGGAATTGACTCGACAGTACCACCAACTACAATAAGGTCATCCCCTGAGGATGGGAGACGACTGAGGGCATTAAAACCTCTGTCCTTCCCATCTGGGAACTGCACATAATTCTCTCTCTGTAAACATTTGCCTATGAATTGAAGATACGTGGACTAGTTAGAAATCCTGACCTTTTCAATATCAAACAAACAAAAAGTTGCCAAAGAACTGCATGGTGCATAACAAATAAGGTTCATTTGTCTTTTTCCTGGTTATAAAAGGCATATTGAGAAAATTTTGAAAATAAAGAATAGTAGGATGAAAGGAAGGAGCCCCGGTGGCGCAGTGGTCAAAGCGCTCGGCTGCTCACCGAAAGGTCGGCGTTTGACCCCACCAGCGTCTCTGTGGGAGGAAGATGTGGCAGTCTGCTTCCACAAAGATGACAGCCCTCGAAACCCTAGGGGCAGTTCTACTCTGTCCTACAGGGTCACTATGAGTCGGAATCAACTCAATTGCAACGCGTGTTGGTTTATGTAAAATGTATTAAGGGGGGTGGTGGCTAAAAATACACCACAAAAAAATAGTGGTTTTCCAGGCTTCAATTGTGGGTCAGATTGTTTTTATAATAAAAAATTTTTTTTTTAGAAGTAACTTCCCCCTTCTGATTTTAATTTTTAGGTTTTGATTTATTTTCTTCCTAAGAAGGGTATAAGCAAGAATATTCTGGAAGTGCTTGTTCTTTTTAAAATTTTGTTTTTTAATGGCCCTCCATGCATACGGTATAAAATACAGCAAAAAGTAGCCCTCCTTTGCCCTCATCCTTGTGTGACTCAGAGTTCTCCTGCCTAGAGGCAATCCCATTTTGGGATTTTTAAAAAAAAATATACTATTTACCTTTTAGTTTTAGAACCTAAGAGTAAGCCACTGATACGGTAAAAATAAAATTAAAATAGAAAAAAAAAAAAAACCAGTGGAAAACTGTAGTTATTCTTTAGGACTCAACAGGTACATTTATTAATTATAATTTCTAAAAACCATATTATTACAGAAAAAAAAGAAATACCAGACTTCCTCGGTTCCTATGATCAAAATTTGATCAAATCAAAGTCGTCTCTTTTTTTAACCTTTATTATTTTACACTGTTGTACACACGTATTAGTTTTCTATCTTAGTAAGTAGAATACTTTGGCATCATAAAATTTGGGCACAAAAATGAGGCTCATAGAAACTTGTATCCAGATTATATAAAGAACTCTTACAACCCAGCAATAGAAAGGCAAATAACGCAGTTGAAAAAAGGGGCAAAACACACTAATGAGGATGGCTAAAATTCAAAACACCGACATCACCAAATGTTGGCAAGGACCTGGAGCAACAGGAAGTCCCATTCATCACTGGTGGGAACGCAGAACGCCGCAGCCGCTTTGGAAGAGCCCGGCAGTTCTCTCACAAAGCCAAACATCGTCTTACCACGTCTTAGCTGTCTAGCGCTGCTATAACAGAAATGCCACAAGTGGGTGGCTTCAATGAACAGAAATTTATTTTCTCACAGTTCAGGAGGCTAGAAGTCTGAATTCAGGGCACTGGCTCTAGAGGAAGGATTTCCCTCTCTTTTGGCTCTGGGCAGGATCCTTGTTCCTTGGTGATCCTCATGTGGTGTGACATCTGTCTTCCCCCATCTCTGCTTGCTTCTTTTGCCTAATCTGCTCTTCTTATATCTCACAGGTGATTGGCTTAAAATAGACCCTACACTGATTTGACCTCTTAACATAACAAAGAAAACCCATTCTCAAATGGCATGATAATCACAGGTATACCCATCGCCATGGAGTCGATTCCGGCTCCTAGCGACCCTATAGGACAGAGTACAACTGCCCCACAGGGTTTCCAAGGCTGGAATCTTGACGGAAACAGACTGCCACGTCTTTCTTCTGTGAAGCGGCTGGTCGGTTCAAACCGCCAACCTTTCAGTGAGCAGCTGAGCACTTAATCACTGTGCCACCAGGGCTCCTACCACAGGTATGGGGTTTGGATTTACAACACATATGTTAGGGGGGCACAGTTCAATCCACAACACCATAGGATCCAACAACTGCACTCCTTGATCAACCAGCATTGAAAGGCTACATCCACACAAAACCCTGCACACGGTGTTTATATGAGGGTTTCTGATATGTAGTTCTCATCAGTGGGGTGGGTGAATGCACCTCTCTGTTTCCTTCCCGAGTCCTCGGCACTCATGGTGGACCCTTGCTTCTTTCTGTGGGGTGACCCTGTCTCCCTGGGTGGGCCTTTGGCACCCAGAAAGCACTTACACAACCCCGGCCCTGTAAAATGCTGGACACGTAGGCCACCTCCAAACAGCCATCTCTCCTCGCTCCGCCATCAGAGCTCCGAGGAGCTCCAGTGTCTCCTTGGACACGTACCAAGCCCCCCAGAGTGCCCACTGCAGCCCCTTCCCTGGATGGGGGCAGGCACCCCCACTCGCCGATAGCTCCCGCTAAAGATCACGCTCTAACTACCAACTCTTTCCTTAGTCTCTCTAACCAAGAACATCAGCCTTCTTTGAAAGGCTCGAGGTGGGTGATTAGCTAAGCGTTGTAGAACTGGTTTCTGACCACTTCCTTTGCAAATCCTGCAAAAACCTTACTTTTGTTTTTGGGCATCGGCCGAAACGGATACTAAAAATATTTCACTGTAGCATTCTGTTATTTTTAGCAAAGACAGATTAGTCAAGGGTATACACATTACTGAAGAGAAATGTGGATCTTCCCAAATCAAGAAATGCTTTACATAGGACATAAAATGTTATCTGGGCTCAAAAACCTTTACACTATATGCATGAATATGTATGAACATGTCCATTGCCACTTAAAGCACTAATGGAATGTAATTATTGAAAGAGGGAAGAGATATTGTAAGGAATAATGAAGACTAAAAAGATATTGTGGGAATAAACCATCCGATCCAAACAAATGCATCCATAAAGATCAAACCAGTAGCCGTGGAGTCAATTCTGACTCATGGCGCCCCCGTGTGTGTCAGAGTAGAATTGAGCTCCATAGTGTTTTCA